TATATATATTATGTATAATAGCTTCTATAGAAATAATACAGTCTGTACAAAAATACATTGGTATTTTAAGAAGGCTATTATATTTACTTTTGAAATATTCAGAAATATAATAGAACAAAAAATATAAAATTCAGAAAAGTGAACTTGATATTTTAAAATTTAATTATTATTATAATAACAATTTGTTTTTAAATGAATTTTTACATTATTGTATTCTTGGATGCATTTGATGTAAAGGAATAGAAAAACTTAATGAAGGAAAGACTAGATTCACAATTAAAATGATAGATGAAATAAGATTATTCACTGTTATTGATTTATTTGCACTGATACTATAAAGAAAATTTATTAACAGATTTACATTAAAGGTTATTAATATAAATGTTAGAGCTGATACTGATTTAAATGAATTTTTAATTATTTTAAGCTTTAGAATATTGAGTTTATTTATTTGAAATTGAGTTCAAAGAAGATAGAAAAGATTTAAGTTTTAAATATATATGACATGAAAGCTAGAAAGTTGTGGCAACAAAGGCATCAGCCTGCTGTTCTGAGGAACCCAGGTTAGAGTCCTGGCAAGACACCTCAGAAATTTCCAGACTTGAAATAATCCAAAAATACACTCTTATTTTTGGAAGACAAACATATTTTCAATTTGTTCCAATTATGTCAAGTTCCATTCCTTGCCACTTAGCTATCCCCATTGTTGGTCTGGCTGAACTGATAATGGGCCTGTAAAAAGATCATAATGCCCACAGTATTGAAAGATATATTCCAGTCTTTCAACACTGTGGGCATTATGATCTTTTTCCACACCCATTATCAGTTCATAATATTATACACTTCTAAAAATATTACTGTAATTGGATTATATTTGTAATGCATTAAGTTGAATCATCATCATAAATCTTATAGAAGAACATGAAATCAGGAGAAACAAAATTTATAAAAACAATAATTTTTTAGAATTATTTCAGAAAATAATTTTTCTAATTTTTGTTAAATATCAGATAACAGTTTTTAATTATTATTTTTGTATGTTTCTTTTTTCTAAATTTATCTTTAGCTTGGTTAANAATAAAAATATAAGATGATCAGGAATTGAAAAATTGATAAAGCTGTTGATTTTAAAATGAATAAGATAGAAAATACTTAGTAATATCTAAAACTAGGAAAAAGAAACGAGCTCCGAGGCATAGACTTCTTTGTTTCAACTTGACACAAAAAACACAAATGTGATAATACACTTCTAACATTCTGTCTAAAGTAGTTTAAAACCTGCAGGTACAAAAGACATACATATTCATCATTATAATCAACAAAAACATCAACAAACATTTAAAACACTCATATATGCAGCCAGCAACTACCAACTCCAGTAAGCAGTTAAAATACATTTATGTATAGCCACAGAATGCACATGTTTAAGTTTTGAGAAATTAATTTTGTCACATCATCAATTATATAATATGAGGTCTGTTCAGAAAAACCAACCACTGTTAATATAATAAGAATAGTTTTCCCAACAGCAATGTAACCTGGCAGCTAAGGAGTGGACTGACTGACAGTGCAAAAACTAGAAGGTGATCTGGAGATCCTAATGTTTATTCAAGAAGATNCAGTAAGCAGTTAAAATACATTTATGTATAGCCACAGAATGCACATGTTTAAGTTTTGAGAAATTAATGTTGTCACATCATCATGCATATTAAATACCCATCATAAAGATCAAAATAAAAAGTTGTCAGAGATCAATGTAAATCAATAGCAGATATAAACTCAATCGACATGTAACACAGATGAGCTTACAACCAACAACTTGCCCATAGACTTTACACGGCAAAATACGACCTGGAATATCTCAGCCAATAGATCAAATTTCTGGCTTATTGAATTGTGGTCATTGAAGTCTCCAAGAAGAAGATAGGGAATTGGCAGCAGGTTGACATGAATTGGTTGACAGTATCCAATTCATCCTGGCTGATTCTGACACCTGGTGGCAGGTATATAGAACAAACTGTGACAGTCATTCCAAATGAAATTCTAACTGCTACCGTTTGAAAGTCAGTTCTTATTTGTACTGACAAAGATGACTAGTGATATGAAACCAGTATAGCCACCTCCACTGACAATTATGGCTATTGTCATCCTTGTGATGAAGATCAAATCCTCTTAATGATACCGTTTCTCCAAGTTTCAAATGTGTTTCCTGGAATGCCACACAGATGAAATAGTTGATGTTAGGTATTTAATGTCAGAGAAGTTGTTGCGGAAACCACGACAGTTCCATTGAATTATTTTATAATCCATTATGTGTTTGAGGCAACGTTCTTTGTGAAAGTATCTTTCTTCAATTTCAATGATGCTTTTTCTTTTGGAGGTGAAGTTGGATTTGTCACTTCCTTGTTAATCTCTTCATCAGAGACATCAGAGAAGTCACTCAGACTGAGCCTCTGATTTTTTTGAAACTTTAGAGAGGACTGCTTTCACTTTTTGTTTGTTTATTGGGTTCTTATTGGCCTTTTTAGAACCCACGTTTTTCATTATGGCTTCTGACTTAGATAAAAGTTTGCCTTTATGATCTCCTTTTCCATTGTTTGGATTGGATCAGAAGATATTTAGCATGGTGAGTGAGAGATTCATTTGGAGAAACAAAAGTATGTTTGAACCCCACAGGTCTTACTGGATTTCAAAACAGCAGCAAATGTCTTTTGCTTCTTTGGTTCATTTAATGTAAGCATACGACTGCCCTCTATATAGGATAAGTTATTAATCATTTTGACTCATTGAATCTCCTCCTCTTGTTGCCATGTTGGACATTTTTAGGAGTAGCAGGATTGACAACTTTGCAGTTCACACAGCTTGGAGCAGCAGTGTAGTCAGTTACTCTCGTGACCTTCACCTCCACACTGTGCACATACATTTTTTTCCTTGGCACGATGTTTGTGAATGTCCAAAATGTTGGCATTTGAAGCAGTGCAGTGGATTTGGGACATATGGGCAAACTGTACAATGTAGGTATCCTGAAGCAATGGAAGATAACAATGTTGGTTTGTTAAAGGTAAAGATAAGGTGTTTCGTCAGTATCAACTTGTTATCTCAATGAATGAAGACGTGTCAAAACAGCAGTGACATCTTGATCTGATAGTCCCATCTGGATATCTGATATTTCTTCAAATCTCACACCATGTAATAAGTTTAAACTACTATGTGGTGTAACATTAATTTTGATGTTCCCCAAGATATGCATAGCCAAAAGTTTCACTGGTTGCCAAGGTGAGGCAGTCTCTATCTTTCTAAACCTTCTTTGGGTGGACAATACTGATTCAAACAATTTAAGAACCAGAAAAAGGGAATATTTAGATAAAGGTTTTTCTCCAGTTGCATGTACAATTAAGTAGGCTGGCTGACTGGAAATGGCAATATTCAGTGGTGATTAGTCCATTCATGGATGTTTTGTGATTTTGGCATCCAATATGGATGCCAAAAATTAGCTCCCAGTGACCCCACCCACCATGGGGCCCAACAACATGCAGGAGCTGTCATATAGGAGATTCTCAGACTGTCACATCAGAGTTTCCCAGAAACTATACCCTCACAATGCAGTCAAGAAGAACATATCTTGTCTGATATGACAAGGCTATCAAGCAGGGACAAGTCCACGAAATCTACATTGCTCAGTTTACTCGGAGCTGAGGTTCAAAGGACTCAATGACCAGCCAATTGACTCAAATGAAGCCTGATTTGAGCCTCCCATTTATCCAAAGCAGGGACCAAAGCAGTGTGTTGCGGGACATTATGTTACCCCTCAACTAACAGGATTCTCCTTTCTGGCATACATGAGAAACACATGGGTGAGCGTTTAGATCCCAGAGATGATAAACAGTTACTAAACCATCTCTGAGAGGTCCCATCATCACAGACAGAAACCTACTTCGAGGGGTTGTCGTCAGTAAGAAGACTGCTATTTTCTGCCTTAATAGTTTTTATATGGTATGTGTCTTTGCTATTTCTATTCCTTTGTTTTATTATTATAAAGATTTTCTTGTTCATCTTCTGTTTCCACTCTCTCATAAAACACTAAATATGATTTAGCCTTTANCGTGTGTAAAAAATTAGGGCCTACAAAACTTCTTTGTACACAATATTCTTAACTAATCTGTCATTAGGCGCTAAAACTATCAAGCTATTGGGTGAACTTACTTGTGAGCAAGCAACATAAAACTCCATCGCTGTATCTTGTGTTCCATACATTAAATAAGAGAGAGCACGAAACAAACATGCACCGTCACCAACAATAGGGACAACAGTACATTCTTCAACTTCTCCATTAACGTTCAGATTTTTTTAGCCTTTTTAAAAAAGTCTAACCGACAAAATTTTAAAAAAGTCTAACCAACAAAACCTATAGTCTACTTAAACCAAACGAAAACAAAACAAATGCCAAATACAAAGCAGAGTCTATAACCAAAACTACTAAACCGAAACAAAGCAAATGCAATCCAAAATATGCCAAGAAAAGAACAGCCAAAATCGTCAAATATAATCCGCTAGAAATATTTAGGTATAGTATGTACTATTATATACGGCCGGCCACTAATCATCGGGTATATGTAACTCAGTGAAAACACAATGATAGCGCGTTTTAAAATACTACTAACGCCATCTATTGTCAACATTTAGAACTAAAATTTATTTTGTTCGTCTTATNAATAGAATTATTAAAAATTCAAGAATTAAAATTTTAAAATTTATGCTCAGTTCCAATATTAACAAATAATTAAGAGTTAAATCACCCATTATAAATTTATATTTCAATTAGCCGCTTTTACGTGGAGACAATACTAGGTAACTGGTTAGTGGAAACAAAAACTGATTTATATGCAACATTACTGTTATGTTTGGTTACTATATAATTTAAAGAAATTAATTTCTTAAAATATATTGTCTGTGTCAATGATGAAAAAATGATAGATATACTATTCAATAATACAGAATTATCTGTCCTTATTGTTCAAAAATTTTGAGATGTCACTTAAGATTATAAGTGTAATTTTTCAGAACTGTGTTCTCATAGATTTCACACAGATTAATTTGATCAATTCTGGATCTCAGTGCATTCATTGATCATGCTGAAGAATATTATTATTATAAGCAACCAAGCTTTCTTACCAAAAGATACTACTGTTCAGTGATAATGTTGATAATATGTAGCCCTATTTTTCTTCATAGAGTGTCCCTGTCTTTTATATGTTTAATGGAATAAGTTCAACAATTCATCTATACTTCATATCAGATGCTGTTTTCTAAAAATAGTATGTGAAGATTCTTAGATATTATTAAATTTTTGCTACAAAAAGTAAAATAGATCTTAGCCATTGAATTCAGTTCTTGCTACAGTCATATTTGGTTGAATGGAAATATATTTTTTACAGCTTTAATTTATTAGAGTCAGAGAAACAAAATTGAAAATTTAGTCACTAACTTTCCATCATATTTTATGATAGGTGAAATAAGATTTTAGAAGACAATGTTGTGACAATGTTTCCAAATATTGTAATGTGTCCATCAAAAATGTAAGAATGTAAGAATTTTCTATAAAAAGGGGTGGCCAACTTTTGTGTACATAAGATCTACTTTTTATCTTAAAAAATATGTTGTAATTGTCTAAGTGGCAAGGGGGAGGTGTGAAATACATACTATGTTTAGATAGGTAAGAAAAGCCACAATTTAATTTAAAACATGAAGAAAACGCACTTATATTTTAAACAGAAGAAAAATTGAAACTCACTGTTGTCACTTTCGGCGATCACCACTTCACTCTCTCTACCATGTCCCGACCTACTCTCTCTGTCCCTCTTCCCACCTTTTTGTTTTCAACCCTTTGTCTACATTTCTTATTCCCCTTTTACAACTGTACACAAATGGATTGCACATGGACCAACAAAACCGCATCTGAGGGAGGACGCTGAGGTCTGATATCACCACAGTTATGTTTGTGCATTATGTTCATGCATTGCATTCAGTTACAAATGTAACATATTACGTCAAGACATTGCGAGTGATTGACCAAAATTTGCTTTGTGATC